TATTAGTAATCTATGACTACACGATCCTACTCGTCTTAAGTTAAAACACTGAATATTAATTCTACATTAGGGCCAAACAGGCTCAAATGGTGTTGTAGGTTCCCGTTCATGTGTGTGTTTGTGTGTACAAATAAAAACATGTTTTAGTAAGTTATCATAGCCCCACTTTAAGAATATTAGCACACAATTCTGCACATATATATTTAAAGAAACTTCCACGGCTAAATTCATCTTTAATAGAGCTAATGCAAGGGGGCTCACATTCCTATGTATTAGTGTCATTAGGTTTCTTTGCATAATCCAGTTTTACATCTGCGATTATCGCTGGTACTACAAGATAGCAATCTTGTGCACCTTCACTTGCAGCTAAGTCCAACTGCATTTCATAAGACGTATTTATGTGCTCAAAAGCCTGGCTAGTTCTGAATTTCTTCTGAAGAAAGTAGATACCGGCATTATCTAATCTGATGCTGTCCAGATGCATTTAGACTGTAATTCTCTTTGATTATGTAGCTAGCTAGGAATTCTGAAAACCGAGTCCAACACAGTTGTTCAGTAGCAGGAAAGGGAATCCTAGCATTAATTCATAGCACATTTCAATTGAACATATAGCAAATCAAAACGTGAAATAATAATGTGTATTGCAAGGCATATTAAATGATATTATTTAAGGACCTTTTTGCATTGTTTTCTTTGTTTGAACTAATTCCTGTCATGGATATTTTGAAATGCCTGCACTATTTGCTTTCTTAAAAGTACCTTCTTTTAAACTTAAAAGAAGTATAAGTTTAAAAAAATATCCATCAAAATGATTTTGTAGCAGCCAAAATTTTAACTGCCAGGCAATGATGTTAAATCAAAATCCAGTTATTTCAGCAAACGCCATTGCAGATCTCAAGAGACTACTGTTCGACTGTGTTTCATAAATCTGGTTTATATTTATAATTATCCAATCTATCCCAAGATCCTCCCAGAAGGGCAATTTAAAGAAATGACCAAGTGGGTATTCTAAGCTGGAATATTTGCAGCTGAGTTGCCTCTTATAGTGCAACACATTCTGTTTAGAGTTTGGGAGCAGCCTGACCATTGGAGAACTGCAGAACTATATTCTCTGGGATTATCAGAAGAAACTGGGACCTTTCCCAACTGGTGCTTATGATGTCCTCACAGTGGTTTAACCAAACCAGAGCAAAAGCTAGGGAGACAGCCAGCTAAGAGAAGAAGCACATGTCAAGAGACCAGGCGCTAAAATGGAGGTAGAAGATGACTCCTCAAAGGCATGGATGACGGATCCATTTCAGGTCAGCGAAGAAGTCTCATGAATGGCACAAAAGCCCATCCCCTGAACAGCAGAACAGGGTCCCAAGAGATGAACAGCTTCCAAGTTCCTGTGACATTTGTGTAGCACTCCACCACTGCGTCCTGCCAATATTCTGGACTCTCAGAGATGTAGTGTCCTTGCCAATACTCCCAACGTCTCTTAAAACTTTCACAGCTATTTAAAAATAGCCCTCACGTCCTGGAAAATATGATGGATGCTTTTCCTCCTGCCAGAGGCTCATCAAGTTAAGGGCTGAGTTTATTTATTTATGTATTAAGGAAGTGTATAGGGCTACCCATGTTAAGCAAATAACTTTGGGCAACTAACAATGTGAGCCAATACTGTATAAAGCAACAAAAATACATTTAAAAATAAACTTGGTAAATATAAAATGAAAATGTCCCAGGATCCCACATATAACTCCCAGTCCCAAATCCACATATGTAGACTCTGCTATCAATCCAGTCCTAATAATTGAGGAAAAGGCTAATTTTTTTCAGCTTTCTGGAAAGTGAATAGCATCTGGGTCACTACAGTTGCTTTTCATTTTGAAATGTTTATAGGCAATCCTAGGATAAGCTAGGCTGGCCTCACGCCTTCTCTTTGTCAAGGCTTATGCCTACCTGTGTAAGATTGATGGCCTTCAAACCCATTTTTTTCCCCCTGGGATCCTGGATTTAGAAGCCTAGACAAGCAGATGCCTAGGATTCTTAAACTCCTGATAGTTGTGATTCCAGAGCTGGTTATTTGAATTGAATTGAATTGAATTCTTTTTATTGACCATGTGTGATTAGACACACAAGGAATTTGTCTTCATGCACATGCTCTCAGTGTACATAAAAGGAAAACATACATTCATCAAGAATCATAAGGTACAACACTTAATATAGTCATAGGGTACAAATAAGCAACCAGATCATACTCAGAAACAGTCAATATAAATCATAAGGATACAAGCAACAAAGTTACAGTCATACAGTCACAAGTGGGAGGGGATGGGTGATAAGAGTGAAGAGAAGATTAATAGTGAGCAATGCAGACTAACTAAATAGTTGGACAGTGTTGTGGGAATTATTTAGCAGAGTGATGGCATTTGGGGAAAAACTGTCCTTGTGTCTAGTTGTTCTGGTGTGCAGTGCTTTATAGCATCATTTGGAGAGTAGGAGTTGGAACAGTTTATGTCCAGGATGTGAGGGGTCTGTAAATATTTTCACAGCCCCTTTTTTGACTCGTGCAGTATATAGGTCCTCAATAGAAGGCAGGTTGGTAGTAATTGTTTTTTCTGCAGTCCTAATTACTCTCAGGAGTCTGTGTCTGTCTCGTTGGGTTGCAGAACCAAACCAGACAGTTATAGAGGTGCAGATGATAGACACAATAATTCCTCTGTAGAACTGTATCAGCAGCTCCTTGGGCAGTTTGAGCTTTCTGAGTTAGCGCAGACAGAACATTCTTTGTTGTGCTTTTTTGATGATGTTTTTGATGTTAGGTGTCCGTTTTAGGTCTTGAGATATGATAGAACCTAGAAACTTGAAGGTCTCTACTGTTGATACTGTGTTGTCTAGTATTGTAAGAGGTGGTAGTATGGGAGGGTTTCTCCTAAAGTCTACCGCCATTTGCATTCTGCAGGAAGTGGCAGTAACCCATCCTGTATTCCTCCCAGAGATTAGTCTTATATGTCAGAATAGGACCTGGAGCTTTTAACAGTCAAAGCAGAAGCAAACTTAACATCTCTCTCTTTCGGATGGAATTCCTCGGGGAAAATGTTGTCCTTCATTATTTTGCTTCTCATTTTCCTCTTGAAAATTGACATTGTTGGGTGGCATCCAGGAACAGGATCTGCCCTGGAAGCTTCTATTGTTTGCTTGTTTGATTTATAATTTCAGTTGCTGAGGTTGTCCCCTTGCTGAAAACTCAGGGTGGTTCACAGAGGATTAATAGCAATAAAAAGAAAATAACAGAAAACAACCCAGAAAGTGAGAATGACCGAGGAAACATTTAATTTCTTCACATTTAATAGTTTAAAATCATGTTGGTGTACACATATTACTGTCATATAAATGAAATGCAATGGAGAAAATAAATCTAACAAATCAAATGCACCTTTTCTTTCCTGGTTTTTTGGATGTGACCAAGGCCAAGCTCTTTGCCTAATCTCATCAGACACAAATTAATCCATCTTGCCCCAAAGTCCCTGCAATTCCATTTAAACCAAAGGAAAAAAAAAACCCCTAATCAGCTCAAGGACAGCAAAGGAATTGAAACCTAGAGAAACCCCAACTTCCAATGTCCATTAGTTGATTATTTCCAGCATTCCATCTTTTTAACAGTTGACCTCCTCAGCTCTGCCACTCTCCAAAAGGCCCATTTATTTCACCTAACAAAACCAGGTACACAGACAAGGACCTTCTAGAAGAGCAATAAAGATGATTAGGGAACTGGATATTAAAACATGAAGAATGGTTTTAGGAATTGGGTGTGTACTTTAATGAAAAGAAGGACTAGGGATGACATGATAGCAATGTTCCAATATCTAAGGGGTTGCCACAAAGAAGGTGGGGGTAACCTATTCTCCAAACATCTGCAGGACAAGGAGCAATGGGTGGGAACCAATCAAGGAGAGAAACAATCTAGAGCTAAGAAGGAATTTCTTGACAGTGAGAACAATTAATCAGTGGAACAACTTGCTTCCAGAAGCTGTGGATGCTCCAACATTGGACGTTTTAAAGAAGTGATTGGACAACCATTTATCTGAAATGGTATCGGGCGACTGTTCAAAGTTACAATGGCACTGAAAAAAAAAGATTTATGACCATTTTTCACACTTACGACCATTGCACCATTCCCCTGGTCACAACAGAATGTGGATGCCTGGCAACTCGTTTATATTTATGACGGTTGGGCAGTGTTCTAGGGTCATGCGATCACCAGTCTTCTGACAAGTAAAGTCAATGAGAAAGCCGGCTTCGCCTAACAACGGGGTTATTAACTTAACAACTGCATTGACTCATTTAACAACTGGCAAGAAAAGTGTTAAAGCGGGGCAAAACTCTCTCAACAGATGTTTCACTTAGCAGCAGAAAAGTTGGGCTCAATTGTGGTTTTCCTTGCATATTCCAAGCTGCCACTTCGCTTGGAAGTCCTCTAGTTATCCTGAACCGTCAGAAGAGAAAACGTTGCTAACAGTATAAACAAACAAACAAATAAAGGAGTATAAATCCTTCCATTTCCCCACCATCCAGTCAGACTTGAAGGAAGCTTCTTAGATGAGAAGGGAAACGTATTTTTAAAAAAACAAAAAAACCAGAAAGTCCAGTTGCCTCTTGAAAAAAAAAAGCACCCTTGGAACCACCACGACTGAGATTTGGGTTGCCCGTCGTGGGCAAGGAGGAGCTCTTTCTTGCCTCACTGGGTGGCAGTCAGGTTCCTCCTTGTCCTTTTAACGGCGTGTGTGTGTGGTGGGGGGGAGGGTTCCCTTTGGATCTCGGGTTTGACAGCGGCCCACCCGGATGGCGCGGCCCGGGCGCTGGGATGGAGCCGGAGATAGTTCGGCACCTGCTTCCCAGCTCTCCGCTCCCTCGTGTCCAATAGCGGAGAGCGTGGCGAGGGCGTGTTTGTTGTGGGAGCGCGAGGCTCCGCCCAGCGCCACTCCAGAATGGATGAGGGGAAAAAGAGAGCCCGCGCGGGCGGGCGGGCGAGGTTGCCTCCTTGCCTCGGGAGTTTGGTTACACGCCGAGGTTGGCCGGCCTTCGGGCAGCGCAGAGGGCGAGCCAAGGCCCGAGACTGAGGCGGACAGCTGGCAGCAAAGCCTCCGAAGGGGACGGCGGGGCTGCGAAGCTCTTTTGGAGCCGCGGTGGCTCTCGCCCGGCTCGCTTTGCAGTCGCCGCTGCGACGCCTCGCAGGGATGTCTGGGGCGCTGGACTTTCGCCTCTTGTGCCTCCTCAGCCTTTGCCTCGGGAGGAATTCCGCCTTCAACCTGGATGTCGCCGAGCCCGTCGTCAAGCGGGGAGAGAAGGGCAGCTTCTTTGGCTTCTCCGTGGCATTGCACCAGCAGCTTAGTCCGCAGCCCATCGGCTGGTAAGCCCCCCCCTCCCCCCCATGCCCGGCTTCCAGGACGGGAGGTTTGGATGCTGATCCCGGGGATGAGCCCGAAAAGGGGATGGAGGTAGACGGTCGCCCTGGGAGGACGATTTGGACTCACAAGAACGAGGCGATCAAACTTTCGCCTCATCATTTAATATCGGCATGATCGCTCGTCTTTCCAGGCGTCTTCTGAATTCAGGTTTTCTCGGGGTCTCCTTGAGCTTGAACACGGCTCATATAAGTTCATCAGTCCCTGCCTGATTCCCTGGCTATTGCGATGAAAACACAGGCTGGTTATTTGCACCTTCTGGGTGCAAAATACGTGGAATATACAATCGGCGATATTCCCTTTGCTAATAGTAGCCTCCGGCTTTGGCAGTAGGAGAGGAGGACCAGATTAAGAGCAGTTTGTTTCCTTTCAGCGGTCCCGTGGTGGATAGTTCTTATTTTGTTGTTGTTGTTTTTTAAATTCCAATGCAATTTGGGGACATCATCTTCACCGGGTGTGAAAGTTAGATCCAGGGAGCCCAGTGGTTAACATTCTCCACTGCCCTACCCTAAATATTTTTAATATTTCGTAGAGGGAAGGGAATCCTTGATCTTGATGGGTGTGTTGTCAGAGATTGCATTATTTTGGTAATAAGTGAGTGTCTTTATAAGTTGTTGTTGTTTTTTAAACCTTATCTTAAAGTCTCTTCCCACAAGTTTACTGTTTTCCCTAGTTAAAGAAATTGCCTGTGTATTATGAGATATTTTCTTTTTTTACCCTTATAAGCTGTTTTTTGGGGTGGGGGTGGGTGAATCTTTCTTCTTCCTGCTTGAGAGCGGAAAGATAGAATTCCGAGATATGCCCTTGCCTTGTTCAGTGCTAAGGGAGCTGAATCACTGCTGAAGGCAAGGTCTCCTTTGCCAGGGCTGTATTCCTAGTTAGCTCCTGGCGACAGCAGTTCTGCAGGGAGCAAATGTGGAAGCACTGAAGTGGTACAGAAGAATGAGAGAGAGAGAGAGAGAGAGAGAGAGAGAGACAGAGACAGAGAGAGAGAAGAGAGAAAAGAAAGAAAGAGAGAGAAAGAAAGAAAGAAAGAAGGAAGGAAGGAAGGAAGGAAGGAAAGAAGGAAAAGAAAAGAAAGAAAGAAAGAAAGAAAGAAAGAAAGATAGATAGATAGATGAAGGAAAGAAAGAGAAAGAAAGAAAGAAAGAAAGAAAGAAAGAAAGAAAGAAAGAAAGA